GAGAGGAATTGCTGATGGAGTACACCTTCAAGGGATGGGAACCAAGGCGACTCAGAGGGGGAATAAAAATGCCTATACCACCAGAAAACGAATGAAAGGAAAAACCACGTGCGACTGGGTCGGGTTTGAAGTTGCCCCGGGACTATCATATGTATGGATGAGCGGATTTGGAACCCAATAAGGGAAGAGGAAGGTTGGGACGAGGTAGCGGAAGGCAAAGTGGAATCAGTTGGGACGGTTGTTCTTTCTGAAGACGGGTGGCGCGTGTTCTGCACTAGGATAGCTTGGGACAAGATCCAATGTGGTTTCTAGGGAATGCGGAGGCGCAAACCCGGAGGGAGGGCGAGAGGTTCGCCAACGAAGGTTGGGACGAAGTCAGTAGTAGAGTTGTGATGGGGGGATGGAAGGAACTCAAGCCTCCCAGTCTGCGAACAACGGCTTGGGTGCCCGGGTTCGTGGCTGAGTGGTTTGGGGGTTTCGACCACTTCATGAAAGTGGCCGACTCCATGAAAGAAGTGCATATAGAGTGTGCGTGGCTGACTGAGGAATTTTATAAGACCTTGTTAAAATACGGGCCCTTCTACGGTGATAAAGCCTGGGAAATTCTCGCCATCTTGAGAATAGGTAAGTATGACCGCCTCGAGGTAGATGCGGAAGCCTGGGACGCCATAGTGAGCCGGGAGGCGACGACCGCTCCATCCTACGTAGATGATGTTTTTAAACTGTTTGAAGTACTGTGGTTCGATTAAAAGGACCAGGAGATCGGACGCCGCGAGGGGGTCGAAAAATGGAAGGTACATGTAAACTAGGGAGTAACGTAAGATATGGGCTTGTACATTTGTTAGTAGGGCATGTGAGGAGATTGAAACAAGGGAAGGTGTCCGGCCATTGTGGAAGTGGATGAGGGACACATGACAGAAAGGAGGAAAGAGGGCATAAGTGAAAAGGGAAACGATAGGAGGATGGGCAGTTGCTTAAAAACGGGCCATAATCCTCTCTGTGTGGGCTATGCAGGAAAACACCAAAACATCGATGGCGGCAAGACGTGTTCGAGCGGTACGCCAGCCCCGGTACCCCGGATCGCCCTGGAATAACGACAGGGGGTGGGAAGTGTCCCTTCCGTCAAATGCTAACTTTCGGGGATTCGATGTGGAATGGCGGGCCGTGACTCTGGGGAGAGACAGCGCCTTTATGTTGGTGGAATGTCGGTGGACGGGGATGAGATTCAACCGGGGACCTGGGGATGATTTGTTTTCCAATTTAGAAGTAATCGGGATTGTGTATCTACTCGAGACTAGCTGGCACTTGCGGGGGATAGGAATAACGCAAGGCCACAAGCTGGCCCCAGTCTTTCGAAGGGCTGCCCGGACATTGACACGAATAGGCCAATCACTCAGGGGTAGGGGAAACGTGGACTTACGTATCAGGGTGGAAATAAAGGACTGGAGGGAGTTCAGGGCACCAACCACCATGCTGAGATGCCGGGTCCCCCGATTCATGATAGACCTCATCTTCGGGAGCCTCGCAAGGGCGCAGGATCTGATAGACTCGACAATAATCTGGGTAGACCACTTCTCTTATCAGACCATCGGGATGTTCTATGACGTTTATGTGGAGCATGGGCCATTCTGGGGAAACCGGGCCCATGAATTGCTGGAAGTTATCAACATCCTGATATTTGGGTTGCCGCGGCTAGCCTGGGCGGAATACGAACACATAATCCGGAAGGAAATTGAAATAGGAGAGAGTTATCTAGCGGGGGTGGCTCAACTGTTCGAGGAGCCTACCGAACCGGAAGGGCCGCGAGGACGAGAGTGGGACTAGCACCCGGAGGCAGGCCAATACGGCAAATCAAGTATAGTCCGCTACGTACAAGGGGCTCACCGATGGAAATGGGGAAGGACCTTCGGACCAGGCAATAAAAAAATCGCTACAGAATAAAGGGGGAAGAAGTGGCTCCTAATGATTGCCATGAACCCGGAGGATGAAAAAGGGAATACTGCTCGGGAAACCTTTCCTAACAGGATGCCCAACCAGGACTCCTACGCGCCGGGCCGACGAAACAGGGGCACTCTAAACGAGCCTGTTATGGAGGAAACTAAGTCATGTCCCTTAGCTCGATAGGGTGGCAGGGCTGGTCGCGGCTCCTTCTTAGGGAAGCAATCGGGAGACGGAAATGGGGAGAAGGCTACTATCCGAATAAAAGTCGGAACCTATGAAACCTAAATACCTTGCGCTGCGTCTGTCCTGGGGAATCCTCTGGTTTATGCAGAACTAGGCAAAATGGCAATGGAGGATGAGACGGATAATCGTAGGATCGAGGGAGGACCAGGCTTAGGAGGCAGCGCCATACAAAGCGAGGAGGGTCAGAAGGACAGAGAGTCGATAAATCTGGATGGTACCAAGGGGAACCAGAAGGAAATCTCCTCAGGGGAAAGCTCGAGGAAAGTCGGGGGAAGCAAGCAAGGACCGAGGAGATCAGGGAGGGTAGGAACAAGGACAGGACAAGCCCCCGGAATTCAGAGGGAGTTGTGTCCAAGAAAGTAAGAGTCACGGATGCGAGGCGTAAGCTAGTGGAAATAGAAAAGAGGACCACAGAGTACAAGGCAAGATTGATTAAGGAAATAATGACTGGGAATGAGAAGGACCCCCCGCAGGAGGAACCGTGGGATGGGCGGAAAGCCGGCCAAGGCGGAAGTAGACAAGGGGTTAAGGATAGTGACCGCGGAGGGACGCCAAGCAAGAGGAGGAAGGAGAGAGAGAACTCCCCGGGGATGGAAACGGAGAAAGCTACGAACCCACCAGCCATAGATAGCAGGGTTAGTCGTCTGCCGACTACGCTGGCAGTAATGCGAGGATGTGAAGCGCTCTAAAGCCTTAGGGAAAGGGTGTTGGGATGGTTCGACCCGGAAGGGACTGCAAAGACTAGGGAAGGAAAGAAGGCCGGCAAGGAAGGACACGATACTAGTACGGCGGGCGAAGCCAACGGCTTCCAAGGCGGCCTCAGAAAGATAGTATCGTCCTTCGCGCGAGCACTAAACAAAAACCAAGGCTACCTAGCCGACGGTAAGAAAAAGTTGACATTTGAAGGGGCAAACATCACGGAGTTCCTAATAGATTACGAAAACCTAGATGCGTTGTTGAAATGGACCGAAGAAGAAAAGATGGACCACCTAGGGCAGCATGTGTCATTGAGCCTGGGGCGACACATAATCGCCATCGTAGCCGCGAGTGGATCCTGGAAGGAAACCCGGGATGTAATGATGAGGAAGTACCTAGCAGCGGAGAAAATGGCAACAGAGGCCGATTTGGTGGCAGTTCATAGGAAGAACTTTGCAACATACAACGACTTCCTACGAGAGTTTACCCTGGTAGCGCTAAGGATCCCCGGGGTTACGGACCGGATAATGAGCAAGTACTTCCTCAGGCAGTTCTCCGAGTTCGATGAAGACAAGATCCTGTCGGCTTACCAACAAACAAGCAAATTCGTAAATATCAGGGATGTTGATTTTAGTACGGTAACAGATTTGGCCGAGAAGACAGTAGTGACCAAAACATTGGTCTTGCTCAAGGAGGGGGAGGTCATATATTTGACTAGTAGGACGGGGGACAAGGTAAAAAGAGGGATTCAAAGTCTACATGAACGAGTGCACGGAGTCCACAATAAGATTGAAAGGTTGGAGAACGCGCTGCTGGTTATGCAGGCGCAACATAGATGAGCATTTTGTTTTTGAAATGCCACTTCACCCAACCCACCCAAGATTTTCTTAGCACATCCCACCCTTAAAAAAAAAAAAAAAAAGGTTTGAAGCTGATCCAACCCACCCAAGCATTTTTTCCAATTTTTTCACCCACGCCCAACCCGCCCGCCACCTGTAAAAAAGGTTCACCCGGACCCACCCGCACCCACAAGAAAAACATTGGCCGCCCGCACCCGGGATGTAATATTTTTTTCACTCGCACCCGATTGTGCCCGCTATTGTTTATTCTTTTTAACATTTACATACAACAGGACATTATGACGTGACAAGACAAAACCAAACATAGCGATCTTTGAAATCCGATCGATCGAGAATTAGCCATCAACATTCGTTTTTTGAAAGGAAATATATATAAAATCAGTTATGAACACAAGCAACACCGTGTCAAAGAGTTACAAAACTTGACAAGGAAACTAAATTGAAATGCATTCGTCCGTGTTCAATTGCAATTCCCATCTACTATCACATACTCAAGTCCTTGTTTGATCGAACAAACAATATATCGTTGACCATCGAACCGCTAAGCAAGTTCCTTTTTTTTGTCAACCTGCATCAGAGAAATTGCACTCGCTCTTGGAGCTCGATGCAGGTACACATAACACCGCACGAGCAGCCCGCGCCATAATAGGCAAAGGAGGACACAATATCTGGAGATCCTCCGTTGTGACTGCCATCCCTTTGGCTTTCCACCAGGGAAGGAGGTCGAAAGTCCGTTTCTCCTCCTTTGACAACTTCAAAGCGAAATAATATTCAAACTCTTTTTGAATCCTCTCAGATATGATCATCTTCAATGTCTCGTCCCTTCTTGGTATCTCTACATCCTCCTCATCAGAGTTACACATCCCCGGTCTTCCCCTTCTTCTTTTTGTTGGACGCTCCTTAACAAGCTCGAGCATGTTTGGTTCAATGTCAACACTCCGGGCGACACTTTGCATGATTGGCTTCAATTGGTTCTTCCCTCGTTTCACTTGCACGAATAGAACTTCAAAAATTTTCAGCCTGTCCTTCTGACGCGGATCAAGCAAGGCAGCAACGACATGCATATCTTCCAGCAGCCACTTCTCCGTTATCGTATCTCTGATTAACTTCTTGATGGCTGCAATGTTGTTGGAATCGGGTGGAGTGACAACTTCCTTCCCTACTTCATCTACATCTGGTACGGGTTCTGTGTTAGTCTCGCAATGTTGAAGCAACTCGTTTCTCTCAAAGACAACGCAATGGAGAGCGGGGTAAAGATAACTCTCAAGTTTTAAAGTTGCCTCTTCAAAATGATCAAGGAAATGTATTAGTTCCTCTAATAACTCCCTGTTGATTTATGCAATCAAAACAGCTCTCGTCCCACCTTTGTTCAACAAGAGATTCGAAACTTCCTCATAACTTCTACTGACACTCTTGAGCATACGCAATAACGAATTCCATCTTGTCGCGTTCTCCTGCTTGAGCGTATTTTTCAACGCCCTTTGCAGGTTCGACTGCTTGACGTGTCGAACGAGTTCCTTGCAATTATCAATGAGCTCAAATACCTCTGGTCCGGCGTCCTCGAATTTGTAAAATGGTGCTGACTTGATTCCGTTTGTCGTGGTTGTGGTCTTGTTGAGGACAGTGGTCAACACCGTCGCAATCTTGTGATCGCTGCACGACAACCATTTCAAATTAGTCTGAATACCCTCACCACCGCACATGTTCAATCCACTATCCGAACACACTACACACCTTTCATTTTCATCACACCCGAATTCCTGAATACACTCCTTAAACGCTTTTAGGACACGGACAGCGATATGTGATTCATCGTGCAATGGCGGCACTTGAAGTGTTCGTACGTGCTGTTTGAAAGCGTTGTCGATATAGTGGCTCGTGATGGACATGAAAGATGTTCTCTTAATCGAGTCGGTCCACAGGTCAACTGTGAACCCTGCATGCATTTTTTCGGCAAAGTGTTCTTTAAACTTTGCTTTGACAACATCATGGAGTGATTCTGCATTGCCTATCACCTGATGCTTGACTGTGAAGCGTGAGGGAATCAAATCATCTACCTTCATGCCCCTACCGACACTGATCCCGATGTCAAGAAGAACTTGCGAGTAGCAACGGAACCCTGCGTCCTCTACGATCGAAAATGGTCTCAGATCCTCACAACACATCATCATAGCTGCCCTTGCAACTTGTCTCTTTTGTGACGTGGTCGGTTGGACCGTTGTCGCAAATAGACGCATTGCGCCGGCATTGGCTGCCACTAGCCGACATCTGTGGCCGTTCAGTGAGCTTGTACCATGACGCATTTCGTATGTGTAAACCACGTGACACTTCGTACAAGCCACATAACCTGAGTCAAACTCCTTCACAGGCGTTCCGTCCGTGTGACAGACATGGGCAAATCTCAGCCAACATTGGGCAGAGCTGGCTTTCTCTTCTTTGAGCACGAACTGTGCCCCAAACCCGCCTTTCTGCAGAGAGCGGTGAATTGCATTTTTTAATTTCATCATGTCCGGTTTGGACGATGCAGATGAAGAGCCAATGCCGACATCCACCATTTTGTCGTCCAATGCGTTCATCGTACGATCACTTGAAGGACCACAGATGGGTGCGTAATACTGGGTATTTCTTGCATCCATCACCAACCACCAAAACACAAAACACTGACAAATGGTCAGGGGCGTCATCACTCGACCAATCTGTATCAGTGTCCATGCGTTTGGCCTCCCCATCTCCATTTATCCACACAGCACGAGCGAGGCTATTGCATTTTCGACACCTCTGGAGCATGGTCCCGTTAGCAGTGGGATAGGACTGTGGCCGATCCAGTGTCACACTGAGCGGCAGCGGGCTGGTAGGTTCATTACAGAAGTTCTGGGAATCTGGGCTCAGAAAACAGAAGAAAGGTAAAAAAAAATAAAAAAAAATGAATCTGGCAGCTCCTACCGGAAATCATGGCAGAGTGTTTCTCGGCTGTCAGATCACAAATGATCTGTGATCTGAGGAAGGCGGTTGCAATAACAGTGAGCAAAGTAACTGCCACATTGATATGAGGAAGGCGGAAAGAAGGTCCCGCCAAAAAAAAAA